CTTTCAACAAAACAATAAGTAAAACGCGTGAGGCCTCTTGCCCTATCTCTTATTCAACTGTCTGTCTCTCTCTGTTCAGCTACACATACAGCCACCGGCATAAATGGGATGGCTCTGTGCAGACAAACACAATCTTCCTGTAAAGCACCCACACCACATTTTTTTGCACTCTTGTATCCTTAATAGCACACTTGCACCCCAACCTCCAAATTTCCCTTTTGCCCACACGACAAACCACAAACCAACAGTTTGGCATGCACCACGACAATCATTCTGTCAGTCCACATTGGAGTAGGTAGATGTTTACAAATTAGACACAAACAAGAATCCTGTAAGTAACTTTGATTCTAATCATGTCATTTCAATAAACATAAAACGACCAGATTAAACAACAAAAAGTGAATGAAAACTAGCCGGATGGTTGTCTCTGTCCTGGCCAAACCGTACAAGAACTGCGTCCTTTCCCGAAAGGTATGAGGAGTGTGATGTGGAGCACCTGGAGTCTGAGCCGGCATTGCAGTGAGGGCCCTGTTTAAGCAGGGGTGGGTTGGAGGCAGGATTGAGACTTAGTTTAGTAGAGCTGGAATGTACACCCTCCGACAGGTAAGAAAGACCACATTGTTCCTCTATCTGGCAGAGCAACCGCCAAGGGAGAGAGAGGAGCAGGGGGAGAATGGAGGGGAGCGTGTCTTACATAGCAAGTGACCATTAAAATCCCTCACAAAAAATCCCCTCATGATCTGAAGCACTGTGAGCAGTGAATTCACAAAGGCTATGTGTTATGTAGAACTGCCCCATTGTGTAACAGTGTTCACACAATTACTGATAGTAGAGATGTTGCGTATTTATTGTTTCATGGAGCAATGCATAGTTATAGGCAACAGGCTGTCAGTGTGTCGGTCATGATTTTGGAAGTATTCTGCAACACATAAAATATTCAAGACCTTTTATGCTCTCAAAGATCCCCTACTTTGTACACTGTCTGCAACACAGTGAATAGATTTCATTTTTAAAAGCATTTGTTGCTGATAACAGAAATCACTTGATGGACATACTGAAATACATGTGAGTTAACTCAGCTTTTGTTATAATAATACAGTATACTTGTATGCATTTAAAATAATCCCTTGCAAAGTTTTTGTAAAATAAGCAGATGTGAGTGCATTTTTGTAGAATTTCCTGCATATAAGGAATAATAAAACATAAAACAGCTGCATCATGCAACAAATTTAAAAAACATTTAAAAAATTAACATGTAACTACACAGAACTTCTCTTTCTCAGAAATGCAAAGCCAAAAACAGATGTCACAGTCATTCCTGCTAGAACTCCTTTTTTTGGAAACTTTTGCAAAATAATTAGAGTGTAAACAAATCTCCGATAGACTGCACACACGTATGCTCAAACTGCTACAAATATTTTAAATTTAGTACAAATATACACAAACTATATATATACACATAACACGTGATAAGTTGAATAACCTTTGTTCAGCTTATTCTGATTCTTGTGAGAGAAACAAGTGATAAAATTTATGAAAAGATAATAGAGAAACAAAATATAAAGAGGGACTGACAATCTTTATAAAACATTCTTGATTTACAGCAGCATTACACTTAACATTAAAAAGATAAGTTAATTTTTTTGTCCTTTTTAGACCCTTACAGTACTAATTCAAATAAATACTTGTATTTTTAATTGTCCAAGAACACACAGGGTGTAAGGAGAAATAAGTTTGGGGTAATTCATGTAAACTTTTGTTCTGAATACTGACCTGAAGCTTGACTTTTTTATTGTGAAATAAATATAGATTTTAAGGCCAGTAATACACCGAAATTGAGTTAAGACTTTCAGTAACTGTAGATTCAAAAAGCATGAGAACATGGAAGGTTTTGTCTGGCCCATTACAATATCACATCCCACTGAGACATAAATCTCAATGTTTTCTCTGTCATTGTTCTAAGATGGAAAAAGTAGGTGGCTGACAGAGTCAAGAAAGGTGAATGTCTACCAGGAATCAAAGAAGGGACTTCCCAACCCAAGTTCCTAGCACCCAGCCCCTGACTCAACCACTGCCATAGCATGCCAAAGATCACCCTGTTATTACTGCGACCACAGTGGTTTAGAATCTGGACACAGTTCCCAGGTCAACGCCCACGTTCCCTGTTTGTGTTTGTTTGCTTCAATTAGTCTTTGACATCTCTGCTTTCCAGCTTGCCTGAACCTCTCAGGGGCTGTCAGCCTTTTCTTATTGTGCACCTCAGAGCTACGAAAAATAGGCCGGACACGTTTGCTGGGAACCGCCCACAGTTGACTCATTAAGGCTTAAATTTTCTTAATCACCATTGGATGTATGTATACTAGGGTGGGTTAAATATAATGTGGGATTAATGGTTAACATGTTTCTCCTTTTGTTGTTTCCCACCTTCTCTATTTTTCCTGGCGTTTCCATGGCATTTTATACGTTCATTAAAGATGGAGGAATGTGGCATCTTGGGTTTTGTTTTAACATCCAGAAAGCTGTATCAGACATGAGTGGAAAAACCACCTAACTACTAAACAAAATGAATGTGTGTCTTGGGTTGTGGTATCAAAAAGGGGATATCTTTAGAGTCAGCTTCTGGGAAAGGAAACAAAATAGAGAGGGCAGACAGAGTATTACATGTATTCTTAAATTGATTAAATAACTAGTTGTAATGTTGATCTGAAATGTTAAAAATGAGAAATGTTATTTGTTTTACCATTCGGAATATTTAACTTCAATAAAAACAACGCTGCAAATAAAGGGGACATAAAATTACAGTACACAGTACAGTACAACCGTTCAATGTGGTAATATGACGACTGGTGCTCAACTGTAAAGGGTTTGTGAATTTGACCCCCTTATGTGTGCTACTTTGGCTGATATCCAATTTGACATATTGACCTTATCATATTGTGGACAATATTAACATCTTTTTCGAACGAGCAGGATGGAAAATGATCTTTATTGCACGCAGTCCTCCTCAGAACAACTGTAGATGTAGATATGAGATTCAGACATAACCTTTCCATTGTTGTTCCTTAAAACGTCTTTCATGATGGTCACACATTATCGCTACCTGAAACCGAGCAAATGAGGAACCTGAACTTGCAGCATCATTCTTCTGAATGTCTCAATCAGGTCTGTGCTTATCTCAAGATGTTTAGATTAAGATAATGTTTTGTAACAGCTGCACTGTATTTCCTAATGATTTTCTGATCTGTTTTTATTTGCCCATTCATTTTTGTATTTTTACATTCACATATTATATAACTGGCAGTGGAATATAGAATTACAAATAAGAAAATTAAACAGAAAAAAGTAACTTAAGGGGCTGCGAAAGTCTTTGTGTGCGTGTGAGTGTATATACACAGGTGATTGTATACATGCGATTAAGCTCATGTGTTCATAACAGTGAATTTCAAGGCTGGTTTGGTCATACACATGCAGAGAGGGAAGGTAAGGAAAGGAGGATGTTGGTTGGCGGAAGCTCTGCTTAATGCTGATAAAACAAACACTTGCTTCTTAGGAAGGGAACTGCTAACTGCTGTGGTTGCTGGCATACGCTGAGGACAGGGGAGCAGCCTGTACAACAACATTACTTCATACACTCTATGTTATTCATTTCTACTTTTTACCTTTGTGTGCAATTGACAGGACTAATAATATATGGTAAATATTTTCTGAACTTGAACAGGAGATATATGAAACATCTTAAACAGTTTCCTCACATCCTGCTTTGAAGATTTTCTAAAGAGGTCAATTTATGCTTCATTCATGGTTTATTCAACTATGAAGTGTAGGTGCATACATTTTTATATAACTTATTTAAAATAAATCATTAGCGTGGTTCCATCTTTAAGACAATAAAACCTACGTTTTCTATGTTCATTCATCATACAGTATATGTTTATTCTTCATTCAAGTTTCATTCATCACTAACTCTGCCAGTCATCATCATCGCTGTGATGGTTTAAATATACATGTAAGTATGAGTATATTTGACGTGTCCCATGAGATGGCCTAACAATGACATTTAAGAATCATTTAGCCTTTAACCTTAAGCTACTTCAAGGCAGCATACAGTTTCCTCTCCAGTCAGACTGATTTTGAAATCTTAGTGGCTGAATTGTGTAAACATAGTGCAGTATTGCAACATTTCATGGTTGCCCACAAAGCTGTTATGTATGCATGTCAAAAGAGTTTATATCTTTTTACCATACACTTTGTGCAGTTAAATAATAGCCGTACACCATTTGCTTTCACAACTGTACATATTCCAGTATTATTCGAAACTCAAGCCCAGAAATATCTTACTGTAAGGCCACACAGTGATGTCATGTATGGAGTAAGATAGAGGGAAATCCCCATCAGCCTGGTTTTCCAAATGTTTCCCAGAAGTGGGAACTAGGATAATTGGAGTTGGTTAAATGTAGGAGGATCCTGAAAAAAGATGTTGATGAGTACGAGCAAGCTTTACTGGCTTGTAAATAAGAGACTTACCGTGCAGTCCTATAAAAAACAGCAACCGCCTTAAATTATCAAATTTAGAATGATTCATTATAATAATCTGGTTTAACTCCAGTACGCATGGTACAGATTTGAACTCTAAAATGAACTGAATGAATGATCAATGGTAGGCCTACTGTGATTCAGAAGAAAATGGGGAATTACACCTGAGAATTACATAATATATGGACTTTATGTTTATATTTTATATGCAGCAGGGTTGGGATAGTTGTAATGTCAGGATAGTGCCATAGTAGCAGAAAATAGAATAAAATAAGGTTTGTGAGAGAAATTATCAAGTTGCAACTATCCCCAGTGAAGGGACAAATGTGTTAGAGATTCTGGCGAGGCTTCATAATTAGCCGTATCAGTTCACTTTCAGCATTAACGACATGTATTTCTGTCCACACTCCGCGCCCTGCACTGAACTGCTCTTTGCCCTTTACGTACAACGGAGGGAACTGCGTCAGCCAATAGGAGAAGGCCTCATTTACTGTACGTATGACGTAGCCAGCTGCTACCCTGCTAGCTAGTTTGCTAACAAGAAAGAAGATGGATTCTCCCATACTGGTAATGTTGTCCATGTATTTATTGAAGGCAGTATGCGTCATTTGAGCTTTAATGATCAGTATTCCACAGAATAACATGTTGAGATTTGTTTCTCGAAACTTACCGAAATATGTCAGTTTAGCTGTCGAGTTAACTCGACGTGGGGCTAACTATCGTAAACGGGTTAGCCGTGTTGGCTAACCAACTAGCTGTAGATAAGTGAGCTTCATGTGTATGTGTTTGTTGGTGATGTGGAAGTGTCATGTCTTCCTCCTGACTTGGCGATCAAACAATGATTCAAAATACTACATTTGGTGACTGTGGTCGCATTGCGTTTGTTTCATTAGTCCCATGTTACTGCCTCCACCGCCGATCTGTGTGGAGTTTATCACCAGTTCATATTCGAAGAGTGACTTCGAGATATGTTTGAACATTTCAGCCAGTATTATTGAGTTACAATCATCTTCCTTAACAGGAACCATCCTTGTACACCGTGAAAGCAGTTCTGATTCTGGACAACGACGGAGACAGGCTTTACGCCAAGGTATGAAAACTATAAAACAGCTGTGAAGCAAAACTAACCCACTTTAGTTAAAAAGCATTTCAGTGTATTCCTCTGTGACATAAACCTCCGTTGTATTAAACACACATAGAAGAACTACAGGGGAGCCAGGGGCAGCTTAGCTCCTGTTAATAAGACATGAGCTCCCCTTCAATCATGAGTTGATGATAAAGTTGATATTTTGGGGGGTCTCTAAAATATTGACAACATGCTATTTTTATAATGCACTAAACATAAGGCTATTATTAATGCACAAGGGTGATCTAATTCACAAATCCCCTAAAATACAGGCAGATTCTTGTGTATAGCGGCGCAATATCATAAACTTCTATCTGAAAGATCAGTAAAAAGCAAAACTTTCTATATCCTACTCAGTGTGCATGCTGAATCACTATTATTCATTGCTCTTCTTTGTAGTCAGCATACTGTCAGTCAGTCAGTCTATTAATTCAGTTCAATCTTTATTGTATTAGCGGGCCAATTCCATAACAGAAGTGTTATCTATCTCAGCGACACTTTGCAAATAGGGGAGCCCAGGAAGCAGACCTAGAACCCTTTTAACAATTACAGAGACCCAACCTTACCACCATGAGCAAAGCACTTGGCGCGGGGGCAAGGAAAAAAAAATCAGTCACCCACTCATAAGAAAAAGTGAGCTCCCCAAAAGCCGTGGTATAGTTCTCACACTGATCAGTGACATGCTCCCTCATAACCATTAACATGGGCACTGAAGTTTTATTTGAGTCAATTCCACGTACATTGTCCCAATGCTGTAAATACTCACTAGTGCACCAAATTAATGACTGAAAATAGTCCCCAATAAATCCAGATTGAGTAACATGTTCTTTTTTTAAAGTTGTTTTTTTTTGGCCTTTTATTGGTTTTATTAGATAGTGATAGCTGTAGATAGGGGGGTGGAAAGTATTTGACAAAAAAAAGGAATATTGCCGTCTTATTCTTTAATACAAATTCAAACTAGTTACAAAATGTGCATCAATATATAATAACATCTTTGCTTTCAATTACAGTATTATGATGATACATACCCGACAGTGAAGGAGCAGAAGGCATTTGAGAAGAACATATTCAACAAAACACACAGGACAGACAGTAAGATCGGTTTAACCATATTAAAGACAGTCTCTCTTCCTGCCTCAGTACACGTCTAATAACATGCATTGTTACTTTTTGTGTGTCCTCTTTAGGTGAGATAGCGTTACTTGAGGGCCTCACTGTTGTCTACAAGAGCAACATAGACCTCTTCTTTTATGTGATTGGAAGTTCCCATGAAAATGAGGTAAGCCGAATTTGAGAATATTATAATGAAATATTATTAAATAAGAGTTGTAACCAAACTATTGAGCACTGAGCAAAGTCACACAAACATAAATCTACCGTAAGTGTTTCCATCCTGTCTCTTAACAACTGAGGTGATGTTTTGAGATAGGAGATCAAACAGTAACTTTAGACCATTGATGTTTTCCCTAGTGTAATATAATATTCCTAAAGAGTAAAACACTCACAGGCATGAGCATTGTCTTATAATAAAATCTTAAATTTACACAGTCCGTTCTGTAGGTTGAATTTTGCAGTCATTTAATCTCACCAATTTTCACCAACTACAACTTGGTGTCAAAATGTATTGTGTGGCATATGATTTAGCATTTTCATTGTAACCTATTTATAGTTTAAGCACCGTCACACGGTACTTCTACGTATGTGATTTGTGGTGGTGTTTTTTATTTAAAAATGTTTGCTAGTCTTTTTCAATTCTGGGTGACATTTATGACAAAAATGTTCAGATCACAAATAAAGAATGGACCTCGCATACAGATAATAAAACAATAGAATTACCTATTTTAAATTGATTTTAAGATTTTTTTATTTAGCTTTGACTTAACTAGCAAATTTATTCTCTTGTTTTATATCCAATAGTGTTGCCTTTTGACTTGGGATTATTTGTTCAGTATTGTGTATCAGTATTTATGCTGCTATAGAATGTAAATGTGAACTAATTTGTCTACATTGGATTTTTATATTTTACAAAAATGTAATATTTATTTTGTAATTAAAGTAACTTCATCCATTGTAACATGGAACGTTATTTGTACACATTTATATGTCTGTTATTTATAACCAAACAATAACTGAACCCGGACAGACCGTTTTGTGTAGGTAGGAAATAGAAGAAATGATGTGCCTTGAGGTCCAAAGAAAGTGATTACACACATGATATTTCTTGAGTGATTTTTTTCCAGATGACAGTAAAACAACGTGGGCTCGTTAGAACAGATTCTAATATATTCCTTTATTCTCCTCAGCTTATGCTTATGGCTGTTCTAAATTGCCTTTTTGATTCGCTCAGTCAGATGTTGAGGTACGTTCTGGCAGCTGTTCATTCTACAAAGCTTCAATAAAACTTTTTCTACAAATCCTTTCTAATGTCTAATGAAAGTTAAGCTTGACTTTTTTTTTATTCTGTAGAAAAAATGTTGAGAGGAGGGCTTTGTTAGAGAATATGGAGGGGCTCTTCCTGGCTGTGGATGAAATTGTAGATGGGGGGTAAGTAAGAATTGAGCGGCTTAAAACATCTCTTGTTAAAGTGACTGCAATGTCAGTGCAGCGTTCTGTCCCTGGGATTACTGATTACGTCTCTTTGCTGCCTCCTGCAGGGTGATCCTGGAGAGTGACCCGCAGCAAGTTGTGCACCGTGTGGCTCTCAGAGTAAGCTCCTCTCCTCCCTGAAATATCCCACATATTTTGATGTTGGTTGTGTCAGCTGTAAATGTAACTTCATTGTTCCTGCAGGGGGATGATGTGCCTTTGACAGAGCAGACAGTCACCCAGGTGAGAAAAACATTCCTTGCTCCTCTCTCTGCTATAAAGTTTAAAAGCTCCATTAGTTTATTGACTGTTAAAACTCATTACTACAGAACCTGTGAATACAAGGGCATTGTTATAGCATCGTTCTCCTCTAGTCCTACTTTGTCACTCGCCTCTAGGTTGTCATATATTGCATTGTCTTCTATGCATGACAGTGTACATGATTACTAATTATTCTGTGGTGAGGTAGTAGGTAGCCAACGGTGGTTCCTGTCTTTTAGTTCTTACATGAGTCTGCCTGTGTGTGAGCTCCTCTTGATTAATGTTGTCATTTAAGAGGCCTGAGACTGGCTACCGCCATCCCTCCTCTGGCCGTGATTAATGGCTGTCCCCAATCCCCTTACTTTATGGTTATGATTCGGCTTTCATTCAATGAATTAAGATGATTAATTAGATCTTGCATATTTCTCTTCATTTACATTACACGTTCGCTCGTCTTTGTTCTGTTTTTTAACAGTTATGTGTAACTTTTTACCATTCTTCCGTCTAACCCACTCAATAAGATGCCTCTTGCATTTTATTTTGTTGTGTTAAATACTTTTTCTTTAAGGGTTTAACTCACACTGTTCATAAACTGGCAAGTACAGCTGAACGTTTGTTGTTGGAGTGATCTGCTTGGTCAAACCTAGTTTTCTTCCTCAGGTTCTTCAGTCGGCCAAAGAACAGATCAAGTGGTCTCTTCTACGATAGAGTCACTCCTGCACCCGTCTACCAGTGAGCCGCTGTTCAGCCCAGTCTTCATGGCACTGATCCACACACTCCTTTTCCTCTGATTTCCACTCTTTCAATCAAAGCTGTGAGGAGTACCACTGGCTGATCCAGTCACACTCCCAGGACTACTGCTCGACAGAGTTTCATTTTCCATTTTTTTTCTTTATTCTTTGCACAGGCTTGCATTGTATGACATAATCAACATGAGAATAAGATGTGGTGTACATTCCGTCGTTTGTTTTTTCATTACAGAAGCTGGATGTTTAATGAACCAATGTATCGTCTATAAAACAATGACAAACCTCATCATAGCCTGTGGCAACATTCCATGTGTCCCCTTGAACTTTAACCTGTTTGACAGCAAATGTCTCCTTTAGATTACTGTACAAAGTATTGAGGCACCAGCTCTATCATTTACTTTACATGAATATTGTGATTTAAAAAGTGTTCAACTAATACTGTAGTCGCACCCGTGATCGCAGAGGTATGTCTGAATACATTTGGTCTGGGGATCTTCCATCATCTGATACTTTTAATAAATGTTTGTTGACACTGGCATCTGAACAGCTGTGATATGTCTAACACTACCTGCTGCATGTTGAACATTGCATTCATAGTTTATTAGAATGTCACCCAGAGTGTAATAGCGTGTACTGCAGAGTCAGTCATACTAATTATATCTGCAAATTTAGCTGGCTTTTAAGAGTTGCTTCCTTATTGCAGAGCTGCCACGCTGTGCACTCTTTGTTCTTCGAGACATCAGCAAGAGCCAGAGACACTAGAGCAAGGGCTCCATCTCCTGGAGTATGCAGCAAAGTGCGAGGCTGAGGTACATACAGATACAACTGTAGAAAAGGGTGGAGACTCATTCATGCAGCTATGATCAGGAGCTCAGGCAGTACTGTGTTACTGTGACATGCGGATAAGTTTTATGGAGTCATACTTGATTCATTCCTACTCTGTGGAGAGCCACTGTGTGCAGCATGAATTGTGTGCCTCAATGTGTGCACCGCCACCGTCACACACTAACCGCATACACTCATTTTAATGCAAATGAAGGGTACACTCCGGAGAGAAATGGATGTGAGAATCGGCACTAGATCATGTTGGTACCTGATGCATATTGCAGGAGAAGAAATGATCTATCTGCATTATTTCAGCTAACCCCATATGTTCTCATGCTGATCACATGAAGGTATTTTTCACTAGCAGAGATTTGTGTTGTGTTATAAACAGATCCAACCATGCCTAATTTGAACCACGTTAGGCAGCAGGTCTTGTTAGAGCTCATGTGTCCTCCCACCTTGCCCTTACAATCAGAGACCTACTGTACTTGGCCTGCTGTGACATGTCTGTTGGCCCGAGTTGAAAGTAATTAAGCTACTGTTGGTAGTCTTTTTCACAAATTGTCATATATAATCAGCGTGCCAAATATTCTTTTCAGATACTGTCTCGTATCTATGTCAAAATAAGTCGTTTGGCCTAGACATCAAAGTGAGAACCAGCTAAGTGAATGCTCTTGATGTAGATATTTCTGTGGCCTGAAGCAAGTTTGTGGAAAGGGTCACACACGTAAGTGATAATGTTGGAATGCAGAAAGTAAATTAGAGCATTTCACTCTTGATTTGCCCGACGGGAAATTTTAAACCTTTCCCACTGTCAAATAATCAGTTAATCTTGTGGTTATTCCACCCATGGTCTAATTATGTATCTTTGATGGGAGCTGCTTCTGTCAATCACAACCATGCAGGATAGAAAACCGCACAAAGAAAGTCATGCAGTCATGGTATTCTGGGGCACTTAAAATAATACCGCAATTTAATCAATCTTGTGCAAATACCTGTATTATGTGCTTTGTGGAGCATATCTGTTATAAGGAAAAATAAACAGTTTTTTTTGAGAACTTCACTGATTTCAGTTACTTTAGTTATTGGGAGAAAGAAAAAATATATATATATTTCTAGGTCAAAAAATAAATATGTAAATGCATAAAACAATCTCTGCATGTTATGTATCAATCACAGTTAACTGCTGGCAGACAGCAGCTGATACAAAAGGCAACATTGTGTGTGTGTCGCCTGGATGAATGCATGTGTGTTGATGTTTTCACATAACAGAGAGGAGTGCAGTCAGTGAAACTGTTATTGGCTTTGACCTGTGGTCCTATTGTCTTGGCTTTGCTCCAGTTTGATTCAGCCCTTCAATCTGTGGCTCTTTATGGCTGCAGAGATAGCATGAATGGAGTCCATGTTGGTGCTACTTGCTTAGCGTTTAACTTGAAAAAGAGTGGTAAGAAAAGAAAAGGTAATCATTATAAATGGACTCCGTTATCGCACCAGTTTGCGGTTATCGCACCAGTTTGCTGGTATAATGAGGACAGCTTCTGCCTCAGTGTGTGGCTTCAGTGAGTGGAGGAAACATGAAGGTTAAAGAGGACGAGGTTAGCAGAAGCAGACAGCAGTAAATGTGATTAGATGAGATCCCAGCGAGGGCACGGCAGGAATAAGAAAGGGTTAAAACGGATCCCACCCAAGGTGCCTGTCCAGACCCTCACTTTTCATCTAGATAGCCCTGCAGCACCATTGGGGGCGCAGTGACTTGCTTTCATCCGCTAATTACAGTTGCACCATCATAAAAAACCAGCGAGGTAATTTATATTAATTATACAGGCATGAGTATAACAGTTTGAAACGCCATGGCTTGACATGCTGTACATAACATGCAGTAAAATTGTCAGAGACGTGTGGGCTAGTGCCTTGTAATTGATCGATGCATACAGTGAAAGAGTCGCTCTCTTTCTCTTGTGTGTGTGTGAGTGGACTGTGTGAATTAGAGTCAATAAATTATCATCATCTGTAAGCTTACAGAGTCTTTATGTCATAGTCAATGGGCCTGAGTACCCATCCAATGGCTCGCCCTGCTAAAGAGAAACAACACTGGGGAAAACAATGACAGCATGTTGGATCCAATACAGTAAACATATTAAAGGAAGTGCCATTATATTGTCTGAGCAGGACAAAGGCCAAGACCCACATGATGTTTAATGACCCAGTGTATTAAAATTAACAAGGCTATTTTACCTCTACTGCTTTCACATTTCCACCCAGTAGATAATTCTAAGACTCAACGTAATGATCTTAATTTGGAAAAAACGACCTAATTCGAAGTGGAAATCAGCCCGTCCATTTTTTATTGTTAAGCTGCGTTCACTCAGATTTTAACTAATCATATCTGCAGAATCACTGTAAACATAGCATTTGGAAATAGGTCATTAAAGGCTGCTCAAAGCGTGTGTGGTTGTGTGTGAGTGTGTGCATGTGCGCATGCAGAGAGGAAGAGGTATGGGCCCAGGCCTGCTCCCTCTGCTTCAGCAGCATCTCTGCAGCCTGACGTGGTTTATGGCCCCAGTTGCCCTCTCTGGGTCTGTTTATGGATTCCCATAGAACAGAGAATCATGGCCACTCCAGGAAAAGCCAGCCAAAAACAACACCTCCAGCACTGCACTCTTGCCTGCCTTTGCCATAACTCAACACGTTGTTTATGTTTCTGAAGGAAAAAAAAGTATTCATAGTAATGACATAAGATGACTGTAAATTCTGATGCTAATGTTTAATTTTTTTCTGTTGATGTAAGATAAAAATGTCACCACAAATGTGGCTGGTTTATTGGATGTCGTTACAGGTTGGTGAAAAAATTGTGGGCTTTGTTAAGAGAAAGGTTTTTTCTTTGGGTTGGAATAGCATTGCCTTTGCAGGACCAGTTATTTTATGATACATGTAAGATTTATTACATGAAAATGTTCAACTTTGATAGGATAATGAAAGTGCACCACCAAGGGCATTGTTAATCGAGGAAATATTCTACCTGATGTGTTTTCCCTCTGCTGTTTTCCCCACAGTTTCCTTATGCCAGTGAAGTGCATTAGTCTTTACTGAAAGCATGCTTCCAAAGAGTGATAGTGGAAGCACTCTGGATGTGAAAATACTCTCTGGTCAAACAAAGCTGGTACTGGTTGGATGCAGCAGGACCATGTTGTGTTTCCTTGTGGTTAGATGGCAAAACAAAATCCTCAAACATAGTTACTCAGGTTTGCTGTGCCGCAGGAGCAACTCCATCATCTTCTGAAGCTGCACAATTGGGGCACATCTGGTTAGTGGATGGGCTTGACTTGGCCCTCCCTTTAATCCAGAGGGTAACGTGTAGCCCGGCGCCTGCCACTGCTCCCGATGGTGCTGTGTCATGTCAGTCAGAGGTTACTGGGTTACTGCTGTTATCAAACAGTCAACACTAAGTTTTGGTCTAGCAATGATGCAGAAGAGCACTAAAGAAGGACCATCAGTCATTTTCACTGTAGACAGTCAACATCAGACACAGCCATGCTGGCCGTAAAGCTTTATGAGTGTTTCTGCTGGTGTTATTCAACTCCCACTGCATCCATCGGGGAAACATATAGTGTGTTTCTTCTTTTTTTCTGGCCACGCTTAGTCTTGTTTTGCTCGAAAAAATTCCCCAGCACGCTCTCCACTGTTTTACTACAGTATGTGAGTATGTATTTTTGTAGCAGTGCCAAAGAATGTAAAGAAAAGCATTTTCTGTTGCATAGCTCTGAACGCTCAGTTTGTTCCCTCCTCCCTCTGTCATCTACTCTTTCTCACTTTCTCCCCTCCCTCCCCGTGGATTCCCCAACCACACCACAACACCGTTAACAGACGCGGGCCTGACAGATTTACTGCCATCGTCTTTCCATTGGCCGCCAGCATGACAGCTAAGATTTAATGCTGCCTTCTCATTGGCCAATACTCGACAGGTTAATTTATGGGTGCACTGTGATTTGATGCCTCCTGCCTTTGAAGTGAGTTACAGCTCTGTCGCTTATAGGACACAGAAACGGTGTCAGGTTGCAATCGTAAAAATCTTATCCCTGAAGGGGGTGGCGCTGGAGTATAATAGTCCTGACGTCATGAGAGAAGAGACCTTCTTGTGAGCACAGAGGAAGAACAGTGAAATGTGTGATAGGAGAAAATGCTAGGTGTCTATCCAAAAATCCTTTGGATAATTTGTTAAATATTCCGTGCACTGCAAAGAGAGAGGAATGCAAAATGAGTGACACTGTGCTCGCCTGCATGCATCCACTCACATCTAACGTCTTGACCCTGATTTGAGGTTTTTCTACCTGTATAGGAATGTCCATTTGTCTTCTTTCTTTTCTCATTCCACAGCTCTTATGATCAGCAAGTTTTTGTCTGACTTCGGGTCAGAAGATGACTCAGTAAATCACCCATATATCGCATAGCTGATCAACAGAAAACTGCCAAAGTCACTTTGGCGTCTGACTACTGCCTCTGCTCACTGCAGCCCCAGCGTTCGTGCAACGCCATCATCTATCTGCAGCCTATCTCTTCATCAGCCTGACAGTCTGTCCTGACAAGATCAAGAAGAGCGAGAATGTGGCCCTGTAACAGCCTTGACCCATGGAAATCTCTAAGGGTAAAAAGCATGGCTGCCCCTGCCCTGTCTATCAACCCCTAGTGGATTCATGCACCGTTTCCCTTGGACATCAAATCCCTCTCTTTACTCTTTCACTTCACACTTGAGGTCGTCTGCTCAAGTGGAAAATTGACGGAATATAAAGAGACAGAGGAAAGCCCTGGACTTGCCTTGTCAAGTGAGATTGCATAATTCCATAAGAGACCTTCTCCTGAACTTGATAACTTGGGGTTACACAGCATGCCCTCTGACAATGTGCCATGTAAGAGAAAGAAAACAGGTTTTACATCTTAAAGAGACATGATCCCTCTGAACTCAGGGGAATGATGGATAGTTTGGCGGTGTGTTAGAAGAGGTTGAGACAAATATACCTTTGTTGAGTTAACCATTTCAATAAGGTCTTTTCTGTAGAGTCATGCTCTATTTGTAAAGTTGTTTGTCTGAAATCACATCCTCAGCAGGGCTTCTTATACCAAATCTGCAGTCTTGAGGTCATGGGAAAAGCTTTCGGGAAAATTGATATTAACACTAGTAAAGAAACTGATATATTTGTTAAGTGTGTTTCTGGTCTATGGAACATAAAGGCTGCGGCTTCCCAGATGAATATGTCTGCCCACAGTGTAGTGAGCATCGAGCACTTGTGAAGGCCAACTATAGACTCTTGTTGTGGCTAGTTGGTTGTTCCCTGGAGAAGCATCTCAGTCCAAACGGGTCCCAACAAGCTGTGGATTAATAGGGTGGCGTAAGGCCAAGGCATGTTAATGTATCTGCCGAGGCTAAACGCACCTCCGTTGGAAAGTGATTTTTACACAGTAGGCAGGGTGCCGGTGTGTCCATCCTGTCAAGGGGAAAGTGGATGACTGTGTGGCTAAATAAATCTCAGCAACAAGGTCCTGCACAACTGAACTTGATGTTTATAAATATATCTGCATACTGCTAGATCCTTAGCAGAGGTGTAGAGCAGGAAGCCCTCACACTCAGCAGCCTCTGGGCCCCCTCCTCTCTCGCTCCTCTCTTTGTGAGAGCTATGTATTAGCATTTTTTAATCGAGGCGGAAGAGTTAGTGATCGTTTTGACCTGTCATATTAGGAAAAGCACAGGTGACACCAGTAACATTAAAGGTGGCTGTCCCAGTAAGCCATGACAGTGAGACAGTGAGCCTGTGTTCACAGTATTAGGACCCTGAAACCGAAGCGACTAAATGGAATTCAGCCACTATTCATTTATTATTAACACATGTGCCTTTCCAACTCCGACATGTCAGATGTTCCTCAGTAAAAAAGGCACCATTGGTCAAATATTTAAAGCGTTTTGGTCAAGGTTGTAACCTTTTTTGTACCTCTGCTCCCCTTCCCCCCTAACCACTTTCTCTCTGTCAAGCTTCACTTCGTTCATGTGATTGAACTAAATTGCAAAAAGTTCTGACTTCACTGGAGATTTATTTCCATGTATGAATATTCATGATTTCGATGTATCAAAATATGCAAGTAGGCCGAACTTTACTTTTCCCCCGTTACCAGTCAGATGGGTGATGGCTTCGCTTCTCTTCTTCTCTGTGTTATATTTTGAGTACTGGGAATGATATGCAGACGCTAATTAATCTTGTTGAGTTACACTAATTAGAAAAGTAGTGGCAGACATTTGAATGTGGGACAGTTTGAAGTATGATATGTCAGAATATTCCCCATCGGAGACGTTTTGTGAGGCAGGTAACTTTCATATGTTTACTAGATTTTGTTAATGGTGACAGTAATAACCTGGCACCCCATGGACAACTTTGTGTACATTCTGGAGGCCATTTTGTCCATCTCAGATAAAGGTAAAATGGCTGCCGTTTTCTAAGACCCTTCACTTAACCCAGCTATTCTTTAATTTTAATATTGCTAAAGTTCTCATATTGGTGCAGGATGCCTTTTGGTAATAAGGCAGCCCAGGATTCTGCTACATACATAATTTATTTCTGAATAATACCCCCCAGTATTAGAGAATATTAGAATATTTGGTAATCATTAATAAGTAATGCATTCACACCTTCACTGTTCATTGTTTGACGAGAACTTTAAATTTATGGCAAATTCTTTCATGTAATATCAAATAATTATCGAGCAAGTGTGATAAATCAAATTGATGTTTTTACATTAATGCAGACACAGTTGGGTTAACATTAAGAAATGCATGTAAAAATACAGTGAGTGCACCAGCATGGTCAGATTCACAGTTTGTTCATTTGATTTTCCTCTTTAGTCGTTTTTTTACATTTCTAATTCTCATTTAGAGGAGAAAAAAAAGTCCTTGTGTTTACATTTATTGTCATGTCTTGGTTTCCACTTGCAGTGAACACTGGGTCTGTGCCTCTGTGTGAACGTTTGAGGACGTGTTCAGTGAGGTGTCCAGGAAAATGGGAGTAACCCGGACAGAGGAATTGAAATTTTAATGATGAGCAGCACAACCACGCTGACGGCCACAGAACACCTCAGACAGCTTAAATATCACCGCTAATTAACACAGAGAGGTGGGCTGTCACAGGCATGATGGATGCTCGGGGGGGCAGATCGCTGCTTTCAACCAACCAGCGATTCCTTTATTAATCAAAGCCTGAGATGAAAAGGCTCTCCCACACCTCGGGGAGAGGGAGATAGCAGGAGCTATTGTTGGGAGGGTTTCAATCATTCGCTGTGAGCCTGTGATGTATTTGATCAGGGGGCATCCAAACATTTGTAGGAGACAGAACGTTTCTGCTGCTGGGCGCTTGTTTTTGTAAATCTCTGAACCACCCATATGTTTACAGAGCCACAGTATGTGTAGTCAGCTTAGATTTACTGGTTGTTGGGGAAATTTCTGTTTGGAAGACCTATTTTTTTTCTCCTTCTGACAGGAGAGGTGAGCATGTAGAGAGCTGGCTATCGCTCTTAAACAGAGCTCTCCTCCCTGATAAAGTGAGCCAGACTGAGCACAAGGCAGCACTCCTACACTTTACCTCTGGACCGACTCCATGATCAGTCTGTCTCACAGAGATGATTTCGAACCTAGATGATTTCAGCACTTTGTGTATGAAGATGGAGTGTTATCTCCCCCTCTCTGGTCTCCTCCCCATCTACCTCACTTAAGGAGGTCCATTGTTAAGTGCCGGGGGCCTGTGGGTGCTGTAAATCAGGCTGCAGAGGGAGGGGATGTCTCCCATGGGGGAAAGCGCACACTCCCAGCAGCCTTCAGGCTGATCTCATCTTGCCTATCCTAATGCTTTAATTAAGGAACTGGTCAATAGCAAAAAGGAAGGTGCTAAAGGGTATGATCTGAATTTCCTAACGTACGACTGATGTGGCAATACTTATGCAGGCAGAATGACGGGGCAATGTACTTACTACTGTTGTAGGTATCAGCTATCACCACACAGACTTGTATGTCTGTTTGAATACCCAGTTCGACAATGGCACTTCAACAACATTTGTAACAAATCATATTTCTTCAGCTGACTGCTGTGTATATTTTTAGCAAGTTTTGTAATCCACATGGATTTGCAAACTCATAAAATGTGACTGACTGCTTTCACCTGATTTTTTTTTCCCCAAGTAGGGGAATGCAACATCAAATCCAGGTCATATATTTTTCCAACCAACTCCAGGTCTTCATATCAGCGATTGGTTCATGGAAGAGGTGTATTGATCAGCTGTCAGGACTACAGAGCACTTGGCTTTGCACAGTGCAAGTACCATCTGTTTCTTACTGTCTTAGGATACACCCCCCTCTTGTGGTGCAGACAAGGCTTTGTATTAACCTGCTATTTTGTAATGTGTAGTTGCGCTAAAGATAAAAAGAGAATTCATCACCGACAATTTTCACTAGCAATTCATTGTTTTAATTCTTTTATCCAAAAAAAACAACAACAACAAAGAAACAGGTACAGATGCTGGTTACGGCTTCTCAAATGTAAGGATGTTCTATTTTCCTCAAATTCATATCTTTATAAATTGAATAGGTTTGGTTTTGTTGAACAGTGTCAGAACAGTTTGAATTTGAAAGAAGTTGGTAAATGCCTTGATCGTGATCATATAGTGTATGTAGATTGCCTTTCATTACCCAAATGTGTGTGTATAATGTGGTGTTTTTGGTAGTCTCATTGCAGCTTTATGGTCTTCTGAACAAAACTTTGTATTCAAGCCAAATTCAGATGGAGAAAGGAGTTGATTACGCCTTTGGCACTGATCTCACTGCTTCTCTTTATTACACACCTTCATCCCAAGAATCATCTATGTGTGTATAATTAAAACAATAACAGATTATTAACCATCATAGAAAGTGAGGACTATTTGCTTTTATCTCATTCCTAACATTTGTGTGCAAAATTGAATTTCCCCAAGAGGGATTAAGTACTTCTTAATTACTTGTAGATATTTTGCCCCCGAGCATTGTGTGATCAATCTGAATTACTGCCAATCTGGGAAAAACATTTTAAAGCGTTTGTTCATCTTCATTAGAGAGAAAATTGGCCCTCATATGGTCACGGATGCCATCTGCTGACACGATTGGTGCATTACATATTTCTGAAATGTTGTGTAGTCTTCCAGTGTGGAAGATTCAGTAAGTAATTTGCCATTTGAAGACAAGTAATTACTAATTATTTCATAATAATAAATTATGTTGGGTCCTCAGAACATACTGAGATTCTGTGGAAAATTCAGTCTTGCTTTCGAGAAAACAAATAAAAAAAAGGCAATGTGGAGGCTTAAAAAAAAAATCACTTTAGAACCAGTTTTGCAGAAAATGTGAACAACATGCAACTGTTTAAAAAGTGTAACAGCTTTATTGAGACTTGGGGCCCTAAAACTCCATTACAAACTCCATACTACAGTATGACTGAGTCTAAATTGATTTCACTTCACCCCTGAAATGATAAAAAACAAACAAACATGGGGCTCACATTAAAAAGAAATCTCTTTACCAAAACGAAACATATACAAGATCCTCCAACAAATACATGCAAAAGAAAAAAATCCTGACTAATCATGGCTGCTATACTAAAAGGATGAGAGTGGCTGCTTTTACTTTTACCCCTAATAGCAAGTTGAAGGATGACTTGCTATGGGCTTTTTCAGTTCTCATAAGAAATCATCGGTCTAAGGATTATAACTTCTTAAATACTTTGATTTTCCTTTGGAGTGTAGGTCCCATACATACTATTTTCTACCCCTAATACATTTTAAATATATATTAACTTCATAAAAAGTAGACAATGGGCCCCAAACTCCTTTCACGTAATCTAAAGGTTTGACAGCAACAGACGTACCAGTCGACAATACAATCCTCTACAACTGAGCTAACATCTTCAGTCCAGTGTTTACAGTCTGATTTAATCGTACAGAGGCCTGAACATAATATAACGTAGGCTCTATCATCATAGAAAACACCACATGGACCTTTTATTCTCCCCGTCCACTAGGTACAATTAGTCACCTTCACTGAAGATGCTCCAGATTAAACTGGAGATGAAATGACATGGCACTGTATTCAGATCACATTCAGTCAGGTCAAGACGGAGGTGAACTCTTAAAATCTATGGATAAGCCAAATGATACGCTGAACTGTTTGAATCGGGGCTGTTATCAGGAGCACTGCATTCAACTAGCCAGCATAAAGAAAATGTCTGCAGTACGTCTAGTAAAAATAAGTCTAGACGTAGGACTAGTTTTAATCCAACTGTGTGCAAACATATTATCCTCAGTTATGACAAGATTTCACCGGCTAATGTACTCGAAGGAATTTTCAGGTCAAACCTCAGGATTTCAGATAACATGCTGACACAGACTCACTTACCAAAAACGTTTGAAAGGACGGAAGTCTTTCAAAGTCAGAAGGATCTATAAATGCTGAGCAGGAAAAAATAAGACTGACAGTGGCTTCTAGGAACAACGACAGTAAACACAATTAATTTATATTGGGGGGGGGGGGGTTACAGAAGCACTTCAGGAAACACCTAATTTTTGCAACAGGCAGGTGAGTCCTACATCCAGTAAGCATTATAAAATGACTCACTAACTTTGTCAAGGGCTTAAAAAAAGTCTTCCTACAAAACAGCCTTCTACTGTATTTCAACAGTGTAACCTATTAACAATCAGGACAAAACCCCTTTAAAACAAGGTAGAACAGTGAATATTTGAGCCAGCAGTCGCTACACGACTTAACTAATGCCAAGATTAGTTGAAAATGTAACATTTCGGGAGCATCTAGTTAACCTTTAGTGTTTTTCATCATCGCCAAGAGTGGCACCTGCAGTTAATCTTTCAGTTTTACAGCCGGACGAAACGCAGGTAAGAAATTATTTAAGATCCTTTTAAGTGTTGGAAAAAATACGCTCTTGTACATTAATTAAACATGGATGACTGGTTTGTATTTTACTTTGTTATATGCCCCTTTCGTGTTTAGATCAGTGTTATCGAAAAGTACATCTAATGTCATTTCAGATATGTTAATGCACACGACACCTACAGTATTGGATAGGTGGCTAATTACTACCTCAAGGCAGCATGGACCAAAAGTCTGCTATGATTTCTCTGCTTGTGAGCAGTAGCTGGTACTTGATTAGTAGCATTAGGAACATAAAATGAATAGGACTTGAACACTAAAAAGCTACTCAGTTCTGTATGTGTCCTTTACTGAACTGTCCATATGTAGTAGAGGGCAGCACTGCGGTTGCAGGTCGGCAGGTTACCTAAGAGGTGCTGCACGATACACTGACGGTCAGTGTAGGCAAAAATACTTGCAATCCATTGGCAGCAATACCAAACAATACCTGCAACTTTTCAGATAAAAGGAAAAGTGGGGGTTTTTCATTCAGTTATTGCCATGATACCATAATCCAAGATCGTGAATTAGTTCCTCCTCTTTTGCCTGTATCATGAATGTAACAATAGATTAAAAAAAAGTACAAAAATCCACTTTCAAGTTCTATGAAGAGCTGGGCGAGAGCAAACTGAAGTTTGGTTGTGTTTAAGCTGGGTTGTTTTCAGGTTACAGTACTGTTGAGCTCCGATGTGCGACGTTACTGAGCTGCAAACTGCTGTTGTCTGTAGGTTGTCTGTGGGAAGCTGAGGGTCAGACAGTCAGACGGTTGCTGGAAGGCTGTAGGGGACTCCAGGAAGCTGGATGGGCAGATGCGTCCTGCGAGTACTGGCTCTCCTCTTTGTTTATCCCAACTGTACATAGCCGTCGGTGTCTCAGCAGCCTGTCTGTCCGCGAGAAATTCTGGAGCCAGGCAGAAACAGGTGTGTGTTTCAGTCAAAGTTAGCGGAACAATGCTACTTACACTGCTAAGACAGATTTATTCAATGCTGTAAGATCCTGACTAATATGCAGCAACATACATGCTTACATACATGTAAAGAATATAATCTATACTGAAACGATGGCTGACTAACCTGATGGCAGCGATCACACTGGTACGGCTTCTCTCCGCTGTGCACCCTCTTGTGTCTGTCCAGGTGGTAACGCTGAATAAACCGCATGTCACACGCATCGCAAGCAAATGGCTTTTCTCCTGTGGACAACCAGGTGGAACATTTATCGATCATCATCTATCAAGATTTGTCATTAAATGAATTTGTTCATTCAATCTCTTTTTTTGTTTTTTGCCACATGGACGAACAGAGAATAAACATTTAGTAATGAATGGCAGAAAAACCTCAAAAGGCACTATAACAAATTAAAAACATGCCATTTCTCCACAAAAAAAAAAGAATTATATATACATAAGAATCACTGAAGATGAATAGTTTGTCACTTTTTTGTTAATCCATGCAGATGGATCTTCAGAAGAGCAGAAGATCACCACTGCCTGAATTGTGGCCTCACTGCTCATTAAACCACACTGTTTCCCATATCTAACTAATGCATAAAGAGCATAAAAACAAGCCATGTTGAAGGGACGATGTGAGCTGTGAGTTCTCACCTGTATGTGTAAGTATATGCCGCTTGAGGTGGTAGCTACTCCGGAAAGCTCCATAGCAGTGGTCACAGATGAAGTTCTTCTGGACTTTCAGGGAACTGTCATCATCCATATCGATCTGTGGAAGTAAATGCTAACAAGAATAACACAATTAGCTGAAACTGAACTGAACATATACATATATGTATACTTAACAGTGCAGCTTTGAAACAGCCCGTACCTCCACTTTCTCTTTAACTTTGTTGGATGACCCTGATTTTTTGTGCTTCTTCTTGGGATGCATATTCTGGTTTGCCTGCATGTCCTTTCCATCCATCATTCTTGATGAATGATAGTCACCGTCTTTTCGGATCAGCTTTTGGAAGAACAAATGGTAGTAGGTAAACTGCACTGCACCAAACTATTTTGCCACTGAGACAGCCATGCGGTTCTTTTGTGTTCATTTGTTTCTCTCATGATGTTAATTTAGTTATTCATAACTGTACTAGAGGATTGACTTTATATCTATTTATTTGTGATTGTTATTGTTGCTGTTGTGAGAATTCTGTGTGGGTATGAGGGGGGGGGGAATAAGTTTTGGGAACCAACACAGGATAACACTTTACTTTAACCATCGCCATTTAGTATAATTAGCAGAACCTAAACATTAAATAAATGCTTTGTAACACACTATAATGTAGTGTATGATCACATTATATCACTCCATTGCAAAAATACACCTGTCTGTTAACAACTTAAATTTTGTTCATGAAAGCAAAGTTTAGAAATCAGAGCTTTAACAGGTTTTCTGATTGACCCTGTTCAGTTTCCACTCTCTCTTACCAGGGGCGGACAGCTCCCAGGTGAAGAATGGCCCATGTGGCTGTGGTGGGCTTGTCCGTGGTGCACCTGGTGTCCGTGGTGGTTGTGGCTATGGCTATGCTGCGAGTGGGTTTGGTGGCTCTCGGGACTGGCCCTGTGCCCTTGACCCAAGGATGACATCATCCTCTTCTGGCCTGGGATGTTGTTGGCTTGCATCAGGGCCATGCTGGACAGCACCGCCTCGCAGCCCAGCAACCCAGCCTGGCAACACAAACAACATGTCAGAGCAGAAAAAGGGGGCCACAGGGCTCCTCGGAGAAAAGGAGTCAGGGGAAGGAGATGGAGTTATGGGAGTTACGGAGAAATGCTCTGGCGCTAGGGTTGGGAACACACACTAAAACCATGATGGTGATTCTGGAGATGAAGAGACTTCCACTGACCCATTTCATATGGTCTCGAACAGAGTTGTTGGAATGGTGTGTCATCGCCGTGGTTTGAATGCGTGTGTGTTTGGGGGAACAGAGGGGGCTTCACTCAGGATGAGGGGTAACAGAAGAGACCACACCCACCCAAATCATCGGGGGACAAAGCCTGAAAGTAGAGGCATGACAACATAAGGCTAACACTTTCACATGCCTGAATCAGGAGCTGGAAAACCCAGACCAATCTATTTAGATTTCACAAATTACCAAATCTGGATATATGACCAGCAATTTAGATCCAGCGGTAATATGTGCACTTTATCAGGCAAGTAAACCCCAATGGTTTGGTGCATGCCACGTTTCCATGGGTGACAGAACACACAACAGTCAGATACAGAAAAGAAAAGACATCCAATGGCAAAAATTAAAATAAGGTTTTCAAAAAGAACAGATACATGTGTAGTAATGACACTTCAATCAAACAAATGCTTCATACATGAGGTGATACTGAAATATATATATATATATACAATATATATTGACCTGACATATATTCATAGCACAAACCAATTGATAAACAATTTAAGTAGCCAATCAATCACTGTTACTGTACACTGGATTTCAGGAAGGGAAATCTAGCTAACTAGCGCAGTAAAGATTTGTTCTCAGTGACCAGTGAAATTCTGAAGCACTACATGACCACAAGCTAAGTTATTTTTCTCTCTTGTCTTCCATATTGGCACTGTTCTGAAGGAGAAAAATGATACTACCTTCAGTCAGTGAGCTCTTGTGTTGTATTCTGGATTAGGGTTAGGTTAACTCGTGGTTAGAAGGTGAGTTCAATGTGTAAATCTGCCAATAACACATTCCTGTAATCAATACTGTAGACAGAACTCACCTCTGTTACACAATTCCTGCTCATTGTTATCACTAAGTGGAGAACTATGGCAGGAAAAAACAACTCTCTCTTATACTGTTGTACTTAGCACATGTACAAGACTAAAAAAGGGCAAGCAGCAGTTTGCAAAAGGCCAGGAACTCGAAGGGGAATGATTATATCCATGGTACTGGAAAGCAGATCATTACATATAAACACCCAAATTTCACAATGCTATGTTATATGTTAACATAAAATAGGATTTAAATGAAAGCATATAGCAGATAAACCATACCACCATAGACCACACATAAAACCACTGATGGTAAACAAAAAAATACACTCATCATTTTAGTACTAAATGTTTGCTTTCATGAATTTATCTTTAAGTTGCAAGTTATTTGGGCATCCTCATTTGTAAGCATGCGGTTTTGTGATGTGACACACGATGTCTCGTTAATAAAATGATGCAGGTCAGCACTGGTAAGCTAGCTAGCGACTTATCCTAAAAAAAAACGTCGCATTCCCTGTCGGAAAAGTGTGCTCTCATAAATCAAACTGCACTGTATCTGAAGCGCAATGCAAACGCACTTTGGTGCATCTGCGTACGATGTTTAGAGTAAAGTATGGAGAGAGAGTCTCTCCTAGATGAAACAGAAAAGGCTAACCTGCTAGCTAGCCAGTAGTTGGGTTGTGGGACAACTCTTGTATGAGTGCACCCCCACCCACCCCCCCCAGACAACACAACAAC